AGTGCCTAGAACTTAAGATCATATTCTAGTCAAACCCTGAAGTGTAGCTCACGTGGGGTGAGAAAGGTAAGTGGGAAATGGTGGAAGGAAGAGGACATCTTCCTGCTTCTCTTCCTGACTCCCCTCCCAATTTAATGTGTGAAGACTGGGGTAAACTCCCTTCCAGTGAGGGCATAAAGCCTCTCCTGGGCACAGCAGCTCAGTGACAGGGCACAGTGTTGGCTTGATGGGGGCACCTTTGGACACCGCCCCACTTGGCAGCTCTAACCTTAGGTAAAAAACATCCTCCAACACCCCCACAGTGCCTCCAGCCATTTCTAATGTGCTAGCCCCTCTTTTTCACAATGGACTGCAGTCTCTATTTGAGGAGATACTTACAGCCCAGATGATGGCACATTTGCAGAATATAACACATAAGGACTTGTGCCTCTCTTACCTATTTACCTTTCTTTCCATTCCCTATGCTCTTGTGGTTTCCACCTGCACCCCGTCCTTCACTGTATTTCAGGGTTTTCATGCATTAAATTAGATGATAAGCTTCTCCAGGGCAAGGGCCTTGTCTGCTCGTAACACAGGAAATATCTCAGTCTTGGGGAGAGCTTTTATTGTAAAAGCCTCAACCTCCATCCCTTTCCTTATTTTTTCCTGGTACTTCTCCACCCTAGCGTTCCTACAGGAGTGATGCTATGTGGGGTTGGGTGCCCAGGGAGGCACCTTTGGTCTGGCAGAGGTGGAATCTGGAACAGTTCTAAGTCATTTAAGAACACTTTCTCCACCATCTCCCATGTCAGTCTTTTAGGGCTGAAAAAAAGATTAGGAGGATTGGTAGTTGGGTGGTGAAGGAGCAGGAGCAGCCCACAGGCAGGACCCTACTTAGCCCACACCAAACAGATGAGGTCCCTTGCTGTTTTGAAACTTGTCAGATGAGCATTCTACAGCTTCGCCCGTAATGTCACCAGTATTGCAGGAATCTCAGTCACGGGGAAATGAAGGCCTCCTCTCCCCATCCCTCCCTTTTTAATTTTTAATTTCATTCTCTAATCCTATAATTTTTTTTTTTTTTTTTTTTGAAACGGAGTTTCGCTCTTGTTACCCAGGCTGGAGTGCAATGGCGCGATCGCGGCTCACCGCAACCTCTGCCTCCCGGGTTCAGGCAATTCTCCTGCCTCAGCCTCCTGAGTAGCTCGGATTACAGGCACGTGCCACCACGCCCAGCTAATTTTTGTATTTTTAGTAGAGACGGGGTTTCACCATGTTGACCAGGATGGTCTCGATCTCTAGACCTCGTGATCCACCCGCCTTGGCCTCCCAAAGTGCTGGGATTACAGGCGTGAGCCACTGCGCCTGGCCCTAATCCTATAATTTAATCCTAAATTTCTTTTTGCTTAGCAATCCCTCTTTAACTTGGGAAATACACACCTGCACACAGAATAAGGAAGATTGTGAGTGAAAGTGATTAGTGGGATGAAACCTTGCCATGGAACATAGTCCTTCCCCTAAGCCCCTGCTGAAGTGAGGTAGGGATCAGGGTCCTTTGGAGACTGTGTGTACAGGCACCGGAGTGGGCAGGGCCGACAACCCCAAGTCTAGGTGAATCTTAGAACAATTTCATTCACAGGGAACCTTTTAACATTTTCATTCACAAAGTTAAATAATATGATGATGTTTTTGCCTGATCTCAGCAAGGAAACTTGTTTGGCATAATAGTATGAGGACTTTTGTGAGGCTTTAGGGGTATCACCTGCAGAAAGACATACGTAACCAAAAGACTGTAATGCCGGACTGCTGTGACCGGTGCCCCTGAGGGCACTATGACTGGATAAAAGAAACCCATGTCGTAACCTCCTTGGGGATGGGAGTGAATCAATTAGAATTGCTGGAGAGTGAGTCTTCCTGCCCCAGGCAGGCCTATAGACTAAGACAGGAGAACAATTAGTTGGGGCTGGCAAATAAATATCTTTCATAATAAAAGCATCATCAGATTCCAGAGTCATGAATTAACAAATCGTGCCAGTCTGTTGTGAATACTTCTTCCTTTATCCATTGGTAGTCAGGGATGTGCAAAGGGTGTGGTGGATAACCAACAGTCTAGAATTATTAATTTATGCTTAGTTTTTGTTACAAAAATGGCTCTTTAGGTTGACTCCCATGACAGGTAACTGCCGGCCACCAGCAGGCTATCCACTTCAGTCCTCATCCTACCTGCCTTACCTAGACAATTTTATTTATTCTCATCATTTCAACTGTCAACCACTGGTATTTCCACAATTGTAAGATGCACCATTAATTTAATAACACCTGGGGGTGGGTGAGGCGAGAGGAATCTATCACATTAAATACAGAACATCTATTGTGAGCTTATCCCTATACTCCACAGCTAAAGACCTACCAATTTTTCAAGACTCATTGCATAGTCATCCCGTCTGTGAAGCTTTCTCTGACAGCTTCCTCCTGGACTGACCACTCCCTTGTGGTGTCACGACTCTACCTTGCACATGCTACACAATGCACAAACTGTAGGCTCCTCGAGGGCAGAAACTTCTGATTCATACCTGTACTTGCAGGATCCAGGCCAGTGTCTGCCATTAATTCCCTCTATAAATATACACTGGGACCTACCATGTGCTAGGGACAGTCCCTGACACGCATTGTTTATTAAACAAAAGAGTTGTTAAAACATCTACTCTGCCAGGCCCCGCACGGGGGCGGTGGCTCGTGCCTGTAATCCCAGCACTTCAGGAGGCCGAGGCGGGTGGATCACGAGGTCAGGAGATGGAGACCATTCTGGCTAGCATGGTGAAATCCTGTCTCTTAAAAAAAAAAAAAAAAAAAACAAAAAAACAGCAACAACAAAAAACACCTACTCTGGGATACAAGGTGAAAATGCAACAGCCTCTGAGGTCCATGCATTATTCGACAGACATGGGGGCAGTGTACATGTTTTGCTACACCGAATGTGACTAAGTACCACAATGCGTGGCTCAGACATTGGGTGTTCCGTGTGATAAAGGAAAGATGGAGGATGAGCTGAAACCTGAGCTTCCAGAGGTGCCAGGCCCCACACTTTTCTGAAGCTCCGCTATCTTCCAAGGCCTAAGATTAGGGTGGCATTCAAGGTTGACTGAATGAAACTGGAAAACTTCCCTGCGAAATTCTAGGGAAGAATTGGGATGGGGTAGAGAATGGAATTACAGTGTGTATGAACAGAACCAGGAAAGGCTTGGTGGCAGAAATAAATTAAAAATCATTGTGTAAAATGTAAATACCACGAAATTTACCATTTTAACCTTAAAAAGTTTTTTAGAGACAGTGTCTCACTATGTTGCCCAAGTGTTCTCAAACTTCTAGCCAAAAAAAAAAAAAAAAAAAAGAAAAGAAAAGAAAAAGAAAGAGAGAAAAGAAAAAGTGCCTGCTCAGTGGCTCAGACCTATAATCCCAGTCCAGTGCTTTAGGAAGCCGAGGCGGGAGAATCCTTTGAGCCTGGGAGTTCGAGACTCACCTGGGCAACATAGGGAGACTCCAATCTCTACAAAAAAATAAAAAATAAAAACAATTAGCTGGTGTGTGGTGGCACACACCTGTGGTCCCAGCTACTTGAGAGACAGAGGTGGGAAGAACGCTGATGGGTGCGGGGTAAGCAGGGTCCTGCCTGAGGGCTGGTCCACTGCACTCCAGCCTGGGTGACAGATCGAGACCTTGTCTCAAAAACTAACGAAAGAAACGAAACAAAACAAAAACTCCTAGCCTCAAGCAACAGTGCCCCCGCCCCCCACCCCACCTCAGCCTTCTGAGTAGCTGGCATTACAGATACCAGTTACCATGCCTGGCTCTTTTAAACATTTCTAAGTGTACCATTCAGTGGCATTAAGTACAATAACGTTGCACCACCGGGAATGAATTTCTAAGCCTCTTTCCCAAGGGTTCATACCTGACTAATCACACATTTGATAGTGGAAATAAGAAACACTTGTTGGTTGAAAGACAAACGCGTTAAGAGTAAAAGTAGTGTTCTTCCCCAGTGAGGGCAGTTTCCGCAGGAGCATCTGTGGTCCGCTTTGCAGATATGAATGAAAGCCTGGTGAGGGCAGCGGGCACCAGGGCTGCTCCTTGCCTGTTTGAGTCATGTTTGCTAAGTTTAAGCAAGGAATGCTCCATTTCTCTCAATACCGTGGGGCCTTTTGTAATCAAATCAAAAGCACAAAATATTGTGGGGGGGGGGAAGGGGAGAGAATCTTTATTGGCAACCAGCTGTGTCCACTTAGAGCGATAAATATGAAATCTTAAGAGCACGTTCTATATGAAGTACTACAGCTATTAATACCCTTGGGTTTTGTTGTTGTGTTCGTTTTTTCAAATGTGTCTTTGTGGGGAGTTGTTCCAATCAGGGCCACAGGCGCGGAGGAGAGGAAGGGAGGCCCACCCACTGGTGTGTGGGCAGAGTCAAGAGAGCAGGGTTCTGATCCCGCCTCTTCCCTGTGAATCCTGGGGGTACCTCACCGAAACACTTAAGGCCTCGGTATGATAGAGGTTGGAATCCGTGGCCTTTGAAAGTCCTTTCAGCTCCTTCACTCCTATCTGGATAATTTTTGGCAAAGGCCAAGTGGCTGGTTGGTGGGGTGCTTAGCTCAGGACCAGAGGCTGAACCAGCGGGGAGTTGGCTGAGGATAGACTAGACACGCGTGGGTGTGATGGAACGGGGGTGTCCCGGATAGGGCTAAAACGATGGGATTTCCAGACGAGTCTTTCCCAGGCCAACTTTTAAAGGTCGGAGGAAAGTTTCTCGTGGGGTGGGGGCCCGGAGGGGGAGGGCACGGTGGGCTCCGACGCCTCCTCGCCTTTAAGCGGGTGGCCCCGGCGCTTTCTCCGTTACCTGGAGCGGGGAGGGGCTTGGGAAAGTTTGTGTTTGTTGCTGGCAAAGCGCCGGATGGGAGGCGCGGGCGGGCGGGCGCTGCGGTTCTTCCTTTCTGCTTTCGGGAAGCGGTCGGGGCTGCACACTCGGAGCGGCGGGGCCGGCTCCAGGGCCCGGGCGGCTGCAGGAGGGAGGGAAGGAGGCGGGAGGGAGCGAGCGGAGCCAGGGGCGCACGTACGCCCCAGCGCTGGGATTTATCGGCTCGCGGGGAGAGCGGAGCAGGCGCGCGGCCCAGGCGGAGGAGCGCCGACTCTGGAGCAGCCGGAGCTGGAGGAGGAGGAGGAGGAGAGGCGGCGGGGAAGGCGGAGGAGGAGGAGGAGGAGGAGGGGGAGAGTCGCTCCCGCCGGGCGAGCATGGGGCGCCTGGCGCCGAGGCCGCTGCTGCTGGCGCTCCTGTGGCTGGGTGAGTGTGCGCGGGGCCGGCGGGGCGCGGGGGGACTGGCGGGGCCCTGGGGGGCTCGGCGGGGCGCGGCTGCAGCGCGCGGCCTGGGGCGCAGAGAGTGCTCGGGCTGCTCGCGGGAAACCCGGCCGGGGAGCGCGGGCGGCTCGGCCCGGAGGGGAGCGGCCGTGGGGCCGCCCGGAGCCTGGCGCGAATCCGCCCGGGCCCAGCGCACGGGGTGCAAGTGGCCGCTCCGCCGGGCCGAGCCTCGCCCCCCACATGTGCCGGGGGGAGTGGCCCGGGCCCGGCTTTTCCCGGCCCTCCCTACCTGTTGGCCGCCGAGAGCCCGGCTCACCTTGAACTCCCGGCCCGGAAGGTGCTGCGGTCCCGGCGCGGGTCCCCGGCTCGGAGCGGAAATGTGAGCCCGGGATCTGCCCCGCCATAGCCGCCGCCGGCCGCGCCGCTCTTCCCCGAGCCCGCGCGGAGTTGCCTTTCCAGGGAAGCGACAGAATCCTCCAACTTCCTTCCACGAAGGTCACACCGCGGCCCCGAGCGTTACGGTGGAAATCGGCGTGCGAGCCCTGCCGTCATTTTCGTCGTGGCTGGGGCTTGTGCCTCAGTCTTTTCTTTTAGCTTTTCTTGAAGCTGCCTAGCTGCATATTTATACACAAAGACCTAAGAGCCTGGCTTCTCCAACTTTTTCTACCTGTTACTTTTCCTCCCTTACTGTCCCCTCGGCTTCCACCCTCCGGAAACCCTCGGTGCCCTGTGAGGTTTTGGCCCAGTGCCCTCCCCCCACCCAAGGAATCTTTTGTGGGTTTTTTCCCTCTCCATTTTCCATTCACTCCATACACAGACACCATCTTCACATAGATCCACATGGTGATCCTAGCCAGCCACGGAAATATGTTTGTTAAGTGCCCACCGTGGTACCCCAGGGCTGACCCTTAAACGCTTTGATATTCTTGGATCCTTGTGGTCAGTGTCAACCAGGACGAGATGATTCCTGTGACCTGGCCTGGGGTTCTCTTCCAAGCCCCTAGAGAAGGCAGATCTGAGCCTTTTACAGAGCGCGTGCTGTGCGGTGTCCGTCCCATCCAGGTCCCAGCTGCACACAGGGCAAATGACTCCTCTGCACTTATGGCCAGAGGGTCCCAGAGGAGGCCTTCTACAGCCACTCCCCTGCTGGGAACACGGGGGGGCCCACACTACTCTAACCTCCTTGGCTCCTGCTGCTGGTGAACCAGCCTTGCTAGCTACTCTGTTTTCTTCCTTCACCTTGAAGGGATTTTCTGAACTCTCCCTAATAGAGCTCCGTCCAGCCACGTTGCCTTCAGCGGCAGCCAGTGTGCAGAGAGCTTCCATATCTTCCAGTTAGTTTTATGGCATCTCTTCTAACGTTCCTGATTCTGGTGCTTTGCTTTTATCTTTGAAACAAGGTCTCACTCTGCCACCCAGTCTGGAGTGCAGTGGCACTCCACAGCTCACTGAAGCCTCAAACTCCTGGGCTCATGTGATGCTCCCACCTCAGCCTCCCGAAGTGCTGGGATTCCCGGCATGCTCCACCACACCCGGTGCTAATGCTTTTCATCTTTACTTTTCACTCTGGGACCCTATGTTTGTGGCACGCTGCTGTGATAGTCCACACACATTAATTGACTTTGTGTCTGGGTCAAGCAGGGCCGTGGCCTAGGTTTGCACAGATTGTGCACTGTACAGCTTCAGGAGCTGCTGTTCACTTTGTAGCCTATGGGAATGACTCCCCCTAGAGTTGTGCAGTTCTCTGAACAACCTGGGTACCAGTTAGGGTGGAATGAGGTAGAACTTTCAAAACAATGCCCTTGAGTAATCATCATAAGGGGGGAAGAGGGAGGGGGCAAAGAGAGACTGACAAAAGCAAAATAGAAGTGGGGAAAGCACAACTTGGGGAAATCTTGATTGTACCCCAACATATCCTGTCCTGGCTGGAGGCCTCCTATGAGCTCCACAGGGAATTTCTGTGATGTCACCAGCCAGTGCCTTTTCACCTGACAGTCCTGTGACCCATGGATGACTCTCCTGATAACCGCTGCCACAGAATCTCGCTCGGTGTAGCTTCAGCCTGACCTCTGGGAAGGTCTCCCTGTGTTATACTACTCTAGCACTGTACCGATCCCTGAAATGTAATACGTCGATCAGCAAGATCCTCTTTCCTCCTGGGGTGTGACCTGGGGGTATAATCTTGGTATCGCTGCTCTTTGTGATCTCCACTTTCACACAGTTTCTCAATTCTTGGCTTTCCCCAAAGCACAGACTCCAGCTTCTTCCTTTCCTTCCTGTTTCTACGGCTACTGTCTTGGCCCAGGTCCCGACGGTTTCCCACACAGTTGGTGTCTTCTTGGTTGATTCTTTCTTCCAGCTTCCCGTTTAAGCTCATCCTTTTCCTAAAGGATCATTTTTGAGGCTCCCACCTGTCCTCACTGGGTCCTCATGACTTTCCTCCAAGGAGATGTTACCCCTTGTGTCCCTTCCCTCTGGTCTTCTCTGGCCCAGACACTTCATTCCAGCTAACCTGTTGGCTCTCCTTTATGGAGACTATATTAAACCTTCCGCCCTCTTCTACTTCTCACCTCTTGCCTGTGTCTGAATATTTCCTTTTTCCCCTAAAACTCACTTTCTCTATGAAGCCTTCCTAAGCCTACCTACCGTGATCACACCAGAACCCACCCCGCCTCATAGAGCAGGTTTCACATCCATTGCCTGTGTCTGACCTCTCTTGCCTGTCCACTCAGTGTGGCATTTCTTGAGTGGCCACTCTGTGTGTAACTATGTGTTCAATGCTGGGAGTCCCAGACAAATGACCAAGACACAGCATCTCCCTGCGCGGCTGGTGGGTGTGAGTGGACAGAGAATAAAACGGCTAACCACTGAATGAAATACCTGACGTATTTCATTCAGTCCTGTGGTTAGCCGTTTTATTCTCTCAAACAAGGGAGGGGATGATTAATTTAGACTTAGGGGTTGGGGCTGGTTTCGCTGAAGAGGTGACATTTGATCTGAGCCTTGAGGATAATTAGAATTTTGAAAGAAAGGATAGAAGAGCATTCCAGGCTCTGGGGAAAAGCCTGAAGTGTGGATGAGTGAAAGTACATGGCTCATTCAGAAATGGCACATAAGTTCCAGGTAGCTGGAGCTGGGAGAACAAGGAAATAATGGGGGTACAGTTATTTGGGGAAGGAGGAAATAATGGGGGAAGAACGGTAGGTTTCGGTTATATCCTGTGGGTTTTTTGTTTTGTTTTTTTTGGACATGGAATTTTCACCCTTGTTGAGCAGGCTGGAATACAATGCTGAGATATCGGCTTATTGCAATCTCCGCCTCCTGGGTTCAATCAATTCTCCTGCCTCAGCCTCCCGAGTAGCTGGGATTACAGGCATGTGCTAGCACGCCTGGCTAATTTTTTGTGTTTTTAATAGAGATGGAGTTTCACCATGTTGGCCAAGCTGGTCTTGAACTCCTGACCTCAGGTGATCTGCCCACCTTGGCCTCCCAAAGTGCTGGGCTTACAGGATGAGCCATCACACACGGCCGATCCTGTAGGTTTTGCATGCTGCGCCGAGGAGTCTGGACTGGGAGGGGTAGATCTGTTGGCGTTCAGGGTGTTGCCAGGCAGTCTGTGCCCTATCGTTAGAGCATATATTTTCTTCACTGTATGTAGTTGTCTGTTCCCTACCCTGATTTTTTTTCCCCTGGGGGCAGGGGAAACGTAGGTTTTGTTCACTACAACATCCCTATTACTAATAAGATATATAACCCATACGGGATGTTTGATACCTACTGGCTGACTGAATACTTATAAATATATATGTTATTTTTTTCTGTAGGAATGGGTAGCCATTAAAAGTTTGTAGGGCGAGATTAGCAGGACAGGATGATGTGTTTGAGAAGAGTAAACCCTCACCTAGTGCAACATAAATTGGAGAGTAGAAGGCATGGAGATTGTGGGGTGGGATTAACATATTCTCTTTATTTAGGTCTTTATTTTTGCAGACCTGTTGTAAATGTCAAAAGCTTTACGTCTGTATTTGAAAAGGACTTTGTATTAATTAAGTAGGCTAACCTGCTCTAACAAGTAAACTCAAAGCATAGTGGTTCACACAATAGATGTGTCTTATGTAAAAATGTGAAGGAGGTGCTTCGGAGGGAAAGGTTGGGTGGGGACCCTGCTTCACACAGTCATTCTGGCTCCCAGGCTGGCGGCAGTTCCGCTGTCTTCAACTCACAGTTTCTGGAATCGCTTTGGTAGTCGTCATCACCAATCTAGCCCCTACAAAGGAGGAAAGAGCATGGAGTAGAAATATATGGAGTCTTTGTGGGTCAAACTTGAAAGTGGCACACATCGTTTCTACACACATTCTATTGGAGAGAATTTGGGTGTAAGCCACACTAGCTGTAAGGAAAGCTGGGAAGCCATGTGCCAGCTACTATGGAAGAAGGGAAGGACAGATTTTGAGGGAACAGCCAGAAGTCTCTATGTTACTTACGAAGGATATAAGATCAAAAGAAAAATGTGGGCTAAACATGGTGGCTCACCCCTGCAATCCCAGCACTTTGGGAGGCCAAGGCAGGAGGATTGCTTGAGATCAGGAGATCCAGACCAGCCTGTGCAACATAGTGAGACCTCCATCTCTACCGAGAAATAAGAAAAGTTAGCCAGGTATGGTAGCTGTGGTTTCAGCTATGTGGGAGGCTGAGTGGGGAGGATCACTTGAGCCTGGGAGGTCAAGGCTATAGGGAGCCCTGATCGCACCACTGCACTCCTGCTTGGGCAACAGAGCAAGATCCTGTCTCAAAAAAAAAAAAAAAAAAAAAAAACAAGGAAAGAAAATGCATCCACACTCCTACCCAGGCATAGCCACTCCTATTTAACGTGTGTGTGTGTGTGTGTGTGTGTGTGTGTGTGTGTGTGTGTGTCTGCTTACTGAATATTTTGCTTATTTTTTTCCTTATAGCTTCTGTACAAGGCTCTGTATCTAATGGACACA